ATTCTCAATAACCAGTGAATTCCACTGAGCCCAGAGAGCTTTGAAAACGAGCCCTCTGTCCGCAATATCCTGCCACGGTGGTCTCTCGCCGTTACCTTCCTTGAGCCGTAGTATTGCCCCGATGTCTGGATCTTCCATTTGGTCTTTCCTCAATTGTGTCGTCGTCCACTTTTCATCGGTTCCAAGCTTAAAACTCCTTATCATAACAGTGCCTTCGCGTTGTTCCGTTTCAGGGTCTTCTGGATAAACCGTCTGCGTTACCATGCATCTTTCCAGCACGATGTTGGATGGTAAAGTGATACTGCTGGAGCTTCTCGAGCCATCGTGTTATTTGACCTTCAGGTTGTTTCATCTCCATAAGCCACTTGAGAGCCGCATGATCTGTCCTAATTAAAAATTCTTGGCCATACAGATATTTATGGAAATGATCAACTGCTTTTACAATTGCTAGCAGCTCCTTCCGGGTAACGCAGTAATTCCTTTCTGGTTTAGATAGAACTCGACTGTAATATTCTATCACTCGTTCTTCGCCATGTTGCACTTGTGATAGCACTGCACCGATGCCGATGTTGCTGGCGTCGGTATCCAGGATATACCTCCCTTGTTATTGTGGGTAGGCTAAAATAGGACTTGAACATAAAGCCGCCTTAAGTCTTCCAAAGGCTACATCACAATCGGTGTTCCATTCGTAGCCGACTTCATCACCTGTAAGTTTATGTAAAGGTGCAGCTATGTTGGCAAATCCCTTGACAAATCTTCTGTAATATGTGCATAAACCTAGAAAACTTCTAAGTTCATGCTTGTCGCGAGGTTTAGGCCAATCCTTGATTGCAGCGATTTTCTTCTGGTCGGTGTAAATTCCGTCTGCCGAGACTACATGACCCAAGAATTCCACTTGTCGCTGGAATAAGCTACACTTCTTCGGGTTCAAGTACAGGTGAGCATTCCGTATGCGACCGAAGACTTCTTCTAAATTTCGCAAATGCTCCTCAAAAGTTCTTCCCATAACCAATACATCGTCGAGGTAAACCAAGCAAGTTAATCCTCTTAACACCACCTCCATGAGACGTTCGAAAGTGGCTGGAGCATTGCATAACCCAAACGGCATGACCTTGAATTGGTATAGTCCGTTTCCTGTAGAAAAAGCCGTCTTTTCTTTGTTTTCCTCGTCCAGGCCAACTTGCCAGTATCCACTCTTTAAGTCGAGAGTGGAGAACCAGCACGAACCTGCCAGTGTGGTTAACGTGTCGTCTATACGTGGCAGTGGGTAGCTGTCCTTCTTAGTGACGTCATTGAGCTTCCTGTAGTCCACGCAGAATCGTGTACTACCATCTTTCTTCCTCACCAAAACAACAGGAGATGACCATGGACTTGATGATTCTTCGATTACTCCATCTTCTAACATCTTATCTACCATGGTCTCCATTTCTTGTTGTTTGGAAAGGGGCACCCTTCTAGGACGTTGTCGAATCGGCTGAGCATGACCAGTATTAATCCGGTGCTTCACAAAATCCGTTCTTCCACTGTTGTTCTTCTCAAAAATACTGCCATGCTTTAGCAGGAACTGCTTAGCCTTCTGTTTCTCCTCAGATGTTAGGTGATCCCATGGCTGCTCTAGATGTTTTAGTGTTTCTTTGGATGCCATTTGTGTAACAGCTGACGGCACTTCATCACATCGGGTGACACTTCTTACAGGTTCGCAGATGGCTATCTTGTCACCTTTTTGAATCTTGACACAATTCGGGAAAACATTCGCAATTCTGATCGGTATATTCTTGTCGGTGTTCACCAATGACTTTCCTACTAAGTACCTATCTTGTTTCTTGTCGCCACTTTGTACCAGTCCAACACAGCACCCAGCGATCTTCTCGGTATTACCAGGTATCACCACAGTTTCCGCTAATCTTACATCCATTCTGCCTGGTCCCTCGTCTGGAGATAACATGAACTCTTCATTTCCAATATTTAAGATATTTCTCTGGTGATCGAACGAAAATCCATGTTGACGAATCACATCCATGCCCAAGATGAAGTCATCTTCAATATCTGCCACTAAGACGCTATGCTGGAACTTCAAATTTCCTAACTTCAGTTCGACGATAGCCTCTCCCCGTACAACGGCTATTTCCCCCGTGACTGTACGTAAACACACTCTTCTTCTCAGAGGTATCAGCTTCAACCCTTGCACTGAGTTAGCCCGTACCAACGATACCATAGCGCCAGTGTCCACAGTCATTCGAATTCCCTTTCCATTGACTTTCCCGTCGATCACCAAACTGTCAGCGGTTCTTCCTAGACTTCTAATGGAAAAAATCCTGGGGGCTCTGTTCTCCCCAGTCAATACTCGCCCCTTAGTATTGACTGATTTTAGTTTTCCTGGTGCCTACGTTCTCTGGATGGTGAACGGGATCGCATTTGAACGCGGCAATCCCGTTTAATGTGGCCATTCCTGCCACATCTAAAGCACCTTATGTCCTGGGATCTTCTATGGTTCTCTGTCTGGGTGTTGTTGCTACCCTTGTTCACTAGTAACTCACATTGTTTACTAAACATCTCCTCCAAACGTATGTGAGAACTTCCGGGCTGTTCCTCGACCGTTACCGATCTTATCTTCGGTCTAGGGATGGCGCTAAAAAGCAGCTTCAATTTCTAGCGCCCTGACCAGTGCTTCGCTGCTGGTAGAAAATCGGGATATTTGCAGCGCCCTCTGCAGTTCGTTGTCCCTCAGTCCGCTGATAAAACACTGAGCAGCGAGTTCCTCCCTAAATCCTTCCGGTGCTTCTGGATATGCCAGGTGTACCAGCCGACGTAAGTCTGCTTCAAATTCCTGCAGACTCTCTCCGGACCTCTGCAGGCGTGTCTTGATCTGGGCCTGGTAAAGTTGACGTCGATGTTGGTCGCCATATCTTCTGTCCAGTGCAGCAATCAAAGTTTGGTATTCCTGTTGTTGGGCTGCAGGAATAGTTCGCAACAGTTCCAGGGCAGGGCCACGCAGCGCGATTACAAGTGCTGCTGCTTTCTCTTGGTCAGTCCATCCATTGGCAGCAGCCGCTGCTTCAAACTGGCGGTGGTACATCGTCCAGGTGGTCTGTCCATCATAGGTCGGGGCCTTGAGGTTCGCAGTTCCATGAACGCCAGGTGTCCTTACTTGTACCTTGGTCTTCTGTAGGTCCATCTCTAATTTTTCTATCTTCTGCTGAAGGCGCTCCTCCAGATCTTCTACAGCTTCTGGGAAGTGGTTCTGTTGTTCCTGGCAACGTACTTCCAACATTGATTGTTGCTTTTTTTCCATTTTTTCAAAACTTTTCTTGATACGGTCCTGCTCTTCAACTTTTTCTTCTTGTCGACGCACTTCAAAACCTTTTGTAAAATTTTCTCGAGCCGGTCCTGTTCCTCTTGTCTTTCTTTCTGATAACGCGCCTCTAAGCCTTCCAGAATTTTCCCAAGCCGGTCCTGTTCTTCTTGTTTTTCTTGTTGTCGTTGTAATTTTTCCTCTTCCTTATCTTTACGTAGTCTTTCTTGTTCTTCTTGTTTTTCTTGTTGTCGTTGAATTTTCAAATCTTCAAAAATTTTCTCAAGCCGGTCCTGTTCTTCAGCTTTCTCTCTTCTCATATTCTCCATAAAATCGCCCAATAATTTGCTTGCTTCTTCCATTTTCTTCGCTTGCTCCCTTGTACCAACCATAAAAATACTCTAATTCGGTCTAAAAATCTTCCAATCCACTTAATTTCTTCTTAAAATCCTCTTGAATCCCACTTCTGACACCAATTGTTACGGATTCCGTGGGTCCACTATTTAAACTCACGATAAAATACTTAACGAATTTATTTGTTTCACTCTGTACACACAACTTATACTATTTACAACACAACTTATGCAACTACTATTACTCTAACGGTATTTCGCGGTATTATCAAACTTCAGACTATCTTCAGACTTTAAACTTCAAACTTGTCCAACTGTCAAAGCGCGGGCCTTATATACCCCCTGGCGGTTGTTTCTAGATTTTTCTAAAGAATTCTATAATTTTCTTTACTTTCTGGCGAATGCGCCAAGTTCCTCAAGGCACGTTGCGATTTTTTAGCAGTATGCAGTTATGCAACCAGTAATACACCTTGACAGTATATTATATAGTCACTTACTAGCGAATAGTTGTTCCATTATTTCACTCAATTTTTGCCGAGATCTACCGCACGCTACACAACCAACTATTTTAGAGTCTTTTTCGATAAATTGCGATAGTGTCACTGTTAATTTAAGTTCTGCCACAATTTCCATCTAGATTTACTACCTTTATACAACTATCAGTAGTAGAATAAATAATAAATAACATAAAATAAGCTCCGTAAAGACTGACAAATCCACAAAATTTCAAATCAAATTCAAATGTGTCAAATGAATCGTCAAACAGAACTGTCAAGGATCCCCACCCTAGAGTGCTTTTTCCGCCCACCATGCATGAATACATGGATAGCATTATGCTCCTTCCTTAGTCTTCTTATTCAAAGATATTTGGTTATAAATATAAACTGAAATGCCCCATTGGTCGCACTGCAAGCACACCAATGGACTGACGCACAAAAACGAATCAATCAAAGAAACGCGATATAGTATCGTCTTTGTCATTCACGCTAACATTTTAGAATAAGTAGGAGGACCGCAGACAGATGATTAAACCGGGCTTTTAAAAACCTACGCCTGCGATAAAAATTTACGTTTTAAATGTAAAAATGATAGCGCGCGTGTCGATTCTAACCTCATCAAGCGATGAATCACTCCCAAACATTCGTGGCGTTTACTATACAATTTTGGATGGAACGCATTTTCTCCACTGCGCATAAGCGTAACCGGACCAACAGTGGTTCCCTGTTTTGTTGGATCAAACATAATAACAACGAAACTATTAAAATACTTACTAAGCTAAAATCATAAAAATAAGCATGTGTTCAGTCAAGTTTCCTTCCTTTTATTCAATTCAATAATTAATTATTTGCTTCCAGTTTGTGAAACAGTCCGATAACGAGAAAAGGACACGACTTCTACAGTTTGTCACCGGCACTTGTCGTGTTCCAGTGGGTGGTTTCGCCGAATTGATGGGCTCCAACGGACCACAGAGGTTTTGTATCGAAAAAGTAGGAAAAGAGTCATGGTTACCTAGGTCACACACATGTTTCAATAGATTAGACTTGCCACCCTATAAAAGTTATGAGCAACTAGTAGAAAAATTAACTTACGCAATTGAAGAAACTGACACTTTTGGGCAAGAATAAGGGCCTTGTATTTTATTCTAAAAATGTTGCTAGTAAAATTTGAAATGTTAAGGGATAACCTACGATACAATTATTTTACCACTATAAAGAACCTAAAACATTCTTTGAATTTGTGTATATTTAAAACATCGTAAAATGTATATATTTTTATCTTTTAATAGAAATATATTGTTAACTGTTATATTAAAATTATATTTTTTAATATTAAAAATTTACTTAATATTTTTTTCAATCAAATCAAGAAATGCTGATTTATTTATCTTCTTTTCAATTTGTTTTTATTTTATTTTATGGTTTAATAAATATTAGGGGGTGTTTCAAAAAGTTCGCAACAGATGGATATTGTTCTTTTATGGAGTAATTGGACAAGAGATTTAGGCATAATTGGAAAAAAGATTAGATTTTTTTTAAATTATTATATATTCTATAGTTAAAATCTCAACAACTTTTCTCTTTGATTTTTTTTCCATATTTTATAAAATTAAGTATAAACTTTTTATGAATAACTCAGTAATAAAAAAATCTCATTTGATGTGAACTTTTTGTTATTGCCTTTATAACATGCCATGTAATTATGAGTAATCTTTATCGTCAAGCATTTTACAGACATAAATTTTGAACAAATTCCGATTTTTTATTATAAAATGACTTTGATGATCAAACAAATGTCACTCAGTTCGTTTTAAATTGATATAAATTATCTCCGTTAAATACCATAAAGTAAAAAAAACGTCATAGTTGACTAGGAAGAGAAGATCACTGTTATTTTTAAATTAGATGGCGAATATTATCCATTGTCATTTCCAAACCAGTCTGGATGCAGTTTTTTTTTTCTAAATATAAAATTATTTTAAATTTCTATCTACTCAAAAACCAGTTATTGCATTTAGTTAATGTAATTTTATAATCAAAAAAATTAATTTTAACTTGGAGAGTTAATACTCTTATTACTTTTTGAGGTGATACTACACATCACATCTTTGGTTTTCAGTTTTGTTAATAGATAATTTTTTCCATTTATAACTGTGAATTAATACCGTACAGTTTTCAATTTAGATATATATTTTCCATCGAGTTCAAATATTTTTAATAAAGCCAATAAATTAGATACCTAATAAAATATTTTTTCAAGCTCTTGAAATAACAATTTACCCACGCTAAAAATGTTTGCCATGCATAAATTTGATATAAATATCAATTATCTTGGACCCAGCTGTCATTCTTTCTGATTGTATTGTGTAATAAGGGTACAATCGGCTGTAACTATTGAACCGTTAATGCTGAAACTTGGGGAAGAAATATTTTTAAGTAAATCGCGTTCCAAGACAAATCGCTGTAAACTAAGTTTGAAAGTTGACTGCTAGAGGGAGTAAGAGCAAAAAAAACTATTAATTGAGGTATATTAAAAATAGAAGCACTGTATTCTACAGCCAGTTACCTATTTACAATTACTTATTTTTTGCTCTAGCCCACTTTTTTCTGCTGTCAAAAATAATGTGGTGGTGTGAAAACACATTTTTTAAACTCAAATGTTGTCATCTCGGTTTTGGATAATTTGATATGAGCTAACTTCGAAAATAGGGCCTTATTTTGTTCTACTAATGGATCTCTATAAATTGTACTTTAATGACTTTTATCTGTCACAATAATATGGCGTTCTTTAGAAATTCTCCGTATAATGATATGCTAAGGATATAAAAATTCAGGTCTGTTATGTAAATAAAGAAAATTGATGATGTGTCTCAAATTTCAATCAGATTGGAAAGTTAACCTTGCCATTTTGTAGCAGAGAAAAAGCAATAATGGCAAAGTGTAGATTATTTTCATTAACCATCTTAATTCTAAAAATTTATGAAAACGAAAAAACTGGAAAAAAACTAAAAATTTAAAAATCATTTAAAAATTTTAGGATTAATAATTGAAATGATCCTCTAGTCCTCTATAAAGTAGCAAGATAAATTTTTCAATTTGTTATTTGTTTATTTCACTTTATTCAATGTCTTACATAATTACAACAAACAAAGACGATACAAAAGTCGGCATACCTTTTGATATTTTCGAGAAAATCAGTATTATTTTGATAATTTCGAAACATCTAATAACCTCTGACAAAGTCACTACTGTACTTTCTGTACTACAGCTGCGCAAATACAGAAAAAAATGAGAGTTTTTTCGACACGAAGTTGATTGATATCGACTTTTGAATTTTCCCCTGCCACTTTACTTTTGACAATAAACAAAATGGTCTAAAGCAAAAAAGATTGTTTGAATACAGTGCAATTAAACAGATTTTCAGCATGTCTCAGTTATAGAAATTTAAGAGAAAATTTTAGTATTTTCGATATTGTGTATATTACGGTACCCTAGCGGCCAACTTTCGAAATTGAAAATAATTTACAGCTATTTTCCTTGGCCAATTTTTCTACACTAAAGGTTCCAACTTACAGCCGACATCCTCTATTATCGGACCACCCTATACATATTGGATAAATGACAATTGCACCCAAATTTGTTAGCGAAATCATATTTGGTGCATTACAAAAAATAACATCATCGACAGTATCAAAATAAAACCACAGCCGTTTTTTGTTTGTCTTTTATAATGTTCATTATCTTAACTTACTTTCACACGGCGTTGTTATTTCCTGTATATAGAATCTAGTTTTTTACTGTGTACCTACGTATTTATTATATATTTGAACTTACATACTTGTAAATGAAATATAAATTATTTCAAAATATCTCTGCACTAAATGTTAAAACTGATTATCTATTAAATTTTTAAAACTAAGATATGTCAATGTACTCTTAGTTTTTTTGTATTTGAAAATTTAATTCACTTTCTAAGTGAATTAAGTTGACATTCCAGAATTATTATGTATATAAGCTTATATAAAAACCAAAGTTGTTAAAAACTATAATTTAAAAATACTTTTTTTAATATAGTAAAATTGTAGAAATGTAAATTTTTAAATCTTAAGGGACTGTAAATAATTTATATATAATATATATGTAAATAAAATGAAGTAAATTATTTATTGAAACATTTTGGCCATTTATTTCAAACTATATAATCATACAACAACTGTTTGAAACTAGCCAATTTTGAAAACAGAACGTAATATATTACTAAATTTATTCTAAATCATCTTTCTTGTAAGATGTCTCCAATACATTTCTACTTTTTCATACAATAAATTGGGGGACTTCATCCTTGTTCAAATTAAATATAGTCTCGGATACTTCCTCTTTGCCAAATTTATCTTTCTTCAGAAAGGTAATATGTTCTTGGTCACCTCTTTTATGAGAGACTGTAGTCTCCTCATTCCCAGATCCATCTCGAATAGTCTTAATACTTTCACTTGTCTAAGAAATAAAAAAAAACCATATATATACAAGTTTAATAAAGTATAAAATAAGTATAATAAAAAAGTCCTAGCTTTAATTTTCATTTATTGAAATTACTCTATCTATAAGGATAAAAGAAGTACTCTCTACCCTTTACCCTTACCAGTAGTACTCTCTACCCTAATGGAAAGTACCTTTTTAGGGCTGTTAAGGAATTTTACACTATCTTTTACACACAAATGCTTTTCTCAATATGCTAATGAGCCACAGTCGTTCTATTCGAATAAATTGAGGTAAGATTAAAAATACGATTTGGGCATCTTTTAACTGACCAGGACAAGAAAGGAAAAACATTAGATGACCAAATCTATTTTTCCAAGGCTCCTTGATTAAAAATTAGTGTTTTTCACACAGTAGTAACACACTCTAGATTGAAATTTAAAATACGTTTTTTAAGCGAAAGTGTCAGAAGTTGACATATAATATGTCATTCTATTCAGTGTCATTTTCTATGGAAAAAGTTAAAAAATACCAAGGGTGGCATTTTAAAATAAAAAAAATTGTAGTCATTTATACAAGAATGAATGATTAATAAGTCAAGAATGATTACTTAACAAGTCAAGAATGATTAATTTAAAAAAAAATAAAAAGTTCCCAAATTTATAATTTCGGTCAAATAACTATCTACTCGACATGTTTATATTTTGTCAATAATGACATGTATTGACTATTTTCATTCTAAATATCTTGAGAATGGTTGTAGAGATTTTTACCAAGAGACATTTTTTATGTAAAAAATCACGAAAATGTATATTTTTTCATTTAGTAATTTTATACAGGTACGAACGAAAAGTTATTACTCTTCAAAACAGTTAAAACACATGTAGGTGGCGCCCCCTACAAATAGGAGTCATATTGACATGAAAATCAAATTTCTCATGTCAAAAAACTCCCAGATACCAATTCTCATCTAAATATTGACGTTACTTCAGTAATTATTTGGTAAAAATCGAAATAAAAATGAACTTCTACACCCAACTAAGCATTTTAGGACATACATTTTTTATATGAACTTTTTTACTTATTTTCATCTGCAGAATATGCTGCCGAAGTTTCCGGAATACAGTTCGGACAACCCTGTATATTTATTACTTTTGAGTAACACCCGGTAAGTGGCTTTATTTAAACTACGCAAATCGGTTGGCTACCATGGAAGATATATTATAAAATACTTAACCTATAAATGTCAAATATATATCTGAATGACCTAGAGAAAGTTAATGAACATGTTGTGTAAAAAATCTGTTTTATCATATCAAAAAGAAGCTCACCCCATCGGGTTTAACCACCGTTCTAATTTGAACAGATCGGCTGACAACACCCGGATTCCCATCTAGACCTTTAAATATGCTGTACAAAAATGGAAGTCCTCCAATACGCCCTGAACTAAAATAAATAATATTGCTTATTTACATTTGGATGAGTTCAATAAATACTTACTAATGATCAATTTCATCATTGTGCTCCCTCTCATAAAAATCTTTCTTCAAAGGGTCGCTTTTTAAAAACTGGTCCCTTAATGATTTTGGCTTTTCTTCGTATTCATCGTCTCTAGTCCGATTGACAAGCGGTTCGTTTCCGAAACCTACAAACGGAAGTTTAAAATCACGGGTTTATAATAATAAATCAGATTCTATTGTAAAAATGGTATTTTGTATTAAGCGGATATTCAAAAGTGTAATACATAACTAGCCATTAAATTAAAAATTTAGGACCATAGACTGAAACAAATTAACTGTGATTTTTTTAGTTTATTTATACAGTTGAGTTGCTATATTTAATATACAAGTAAAAGATATTTTAGAAATGACTAAAAGTAACGCGCAGACTCAAAACCAAGCGGCTTTTAACATAAGGCATTCTGATTTTTTTTATTACAGTTATTTGTTTATCGTATTCAATTTTTAAATTATAGTACAGTGTTTTAAATTCTAATCCATATTCGTGTGTTTTATGGGGTTTCTCGTTTATGAGCAGAAATACAGAGATACGTTTTCACATCACTGTGCTACTTTTTTGTTTAACTAATTATGCAACACACAGATTTGTCCTAATCCCCTAGGTTACTGAAATACAGGGCGATTTTGAAAATGTTGCTTCCAGCCAACAGTAACTAACTACACTCACCGGCACGAAAAACGGGACCTTAAAATATTAATGTAATAATAACTAAACTTTAATATATTTTGTTGTAGTGGGCCGATTTTAATGATATTTTAAGCAATTTGAAGCTCATTCAAATTGATCATTCATCATTTTTTTACTTTTTAAGGTCTGTTCGTTTTCCTGGTATTATCGATTCTGAATCGTCCTAGAACTCTCCAGCGCATGCGCAAATGAAATAATGTCTTCATATTTCCTTCTGCGCATACGCATCACAATTCTAGGACGGTTCAGAATCGGTAATAACAGGAAAACGAAAAAAGCTTTAGTGTTTTTTTTTCTAAATTAAAAATGAAAGTTTCCATCTGTCAATTATACGGAGCAAAAAAATGTTTATATTTTGGTGAAAGTTTGAAACACCCTGTGGAATATGTTAACAAAGCAAGGGATTTCAAAATAATTTTAACATCTAGGTACGTCTTTTCCCGATAGTTTGTTTTTTGATTCATTTTAATAGCTTTATTTTTATTGGAAATATTCGCTTTTGAATAAAACAGTAACGATTTACGGCAATTTTAGCATTGATTTTGGGTCCTCATCAACACACTTATAAAATAGTTTTTAGTGTTTTTGTAATGTCAAAATCATTGAAAAAAAAATTGTTTATTGACTTTACTCTAGTAGAGATGGTTTTAAGTTCTGAAGTATCGGCTATTGCTCCTTTAATTGATCATGAACTTTAGAATTTAAAACCATATCTGGCTAGAATAACTGCCCAACAGACAATAATAATGTGATTTTTCAAAGACAGTAACATATACAGGGTGGCCCATCGAAAACAGTCCGCAAGGTATAACCAGGGGGGTGACAGTAAACCGGAAAATTGGAAACAGTTGTGGCGCGGTTCTACCCAGGCAGAAAGCATGGCCTTCTAGACTGTCCTAGACAAAAATCTGAATATTTCTATATGATTTCTGTCAATTTCTGCTACGGAACATTTTTATGCACGTCGGCGTCCTGTTCTTTTGTCTTTTGTCTGTGTGTCAGTGTGAGCCTCGAGGCCTCTGGCAAGGTCGGGCGCCATTTTAATTTTTGCCGTTTAGATTTGATTGGAAGTTTGTTTCTGATATTTCGGCTGAAATTTATAAGTACAAAGATGTTTTTTGATATAAAGTTCCTTGTTAACACTTTAATAAAGTATATATGATATTAATTACATGAAGAAAATGATGAAATCGACGTTTCGGCGTGTAGCAGGTATGGGCCATATTATAGGTAAAAATAGGTAATATATTAACTGTTTTTATATTTTTTTAGCTTTAAACCCAAGGATCTTGGGATATTCTTTCAAGGATTTTTCCGTATCTCTACTTTAAAGACTGATCGGTGATTTTGAGCAATTGAAAGCAAGTTATACAAGGTAAATTATGATTATTGAACTATTATTAGCCTACGTTAAATTTCTACAAGATGAACAGAAATGCGTAATTACATATCACATAGGTACCTATTATGTATTTTCATAGCAATAATGCTATAAATCTATGTATGTAGATTATTTTTAAAATACAAATGAGGTATTAGATGTATATGTATCATATTTTTTATTCATTTTATTTTCATTCAAGTCCTGTTTGATTTAATTCACAAAAGTCTTATGTAGGTACCTATATTTATATTTTTTACATATTTTTTTTGATTCCAGGTTTTGTGTGGGTTCCGGTTGCCTTTTTCCTGCTTCCAGTTATTTATCCGTGAAGCTGTGAAAACATTTATTTATCTTCAAGTTTCTGTAAGTCAATGCACTGTTACTTTACTAATTCGCTTTAACACAGCATCTCTGATATTATTTAAATATTTAATATTGATACAGTAGTTTATTGGTTTATAGCTCTTTAATTGTGTTGATTTGCATATTTACATTGTTCTAAATTCCAAATAAATATTTTTGAGTAATTTTGTTGTATTATTTACTACTAGAAAGAGTAAAAAGTATATTAACCCTCATTTAAACCTCCCGAACAGCCCGCCATTAAAAACCGGAAACGGAAAGAAATTTCATAAAATTGAAATTGTCATGTCTATGTCATGTCATAGTCATGTCAAATGTCCCAGCCGCCATATCTGAAAATTAGTTACCCAGGCAGCCACGCTGTTTCCATAATTTAACATTGACTTGACACTTCTTCTTGTATTTATTATTTTATGGGTATAACGACCAGGGTATTTTTTTTTCAAAAAATCCAAAAACACGACAATTTTGTTTGTGAGGGGGACAACTTTTGCCCCAAAAATGATTGCAAAATCTTCAACCTTCTAAGCGGGGCTGTCATCCCCTAACTTTTTTCAAATTGGAAGGGGGGTCAAGTGGCACCGCAATGAAAAGAGCTTTCTATTCTCTATATTTCCCCGCTTTGTTTTTGAAAATCGGTCTAGTCATTGAGAAAATATGAAGGATTGAAATTTAAAAACTTTATTCAAACATTTATCAGAATAAATAATAAGGATAAATTCCTTCGACCAATTTGCTGTTTTTTCTTATTATTTCTAGATGTTTACGCATTTTTTCACTTAGCACAAGGGTGAACGATCAGGTGCAGTAGTTGCTAGATAGCTGTTCTGTGACTTGTGCGTTTAAGTTCTTCTCAATATCGTTAAACTGACCTACAATAGGATTTCCAAAAATACCAGTCCACACGTTCAATTTCTGAGGGTTTTATGTGTTCACCAAGTGAAAAACCCTGGAGTTGTCCTCAGCCCAGTACTGACAGATGTGCCGATTAACTACACCATTCAGAAAGAAATTACACTCATCCGAAAAACACACATTAAATAGGAAATTATTATCATTCGCCACTCGTTCACTCATAGTTTCACAAAATTGCAAGCGACGATCAAAATCGTCTTCGTTGAGTTCTTGTACCAACTGAATTTTGTACGGGTGGAACTTGTGTTTTTTAATATCCTTTGGACACTTGTACGATTCACGCCGGCGGCGGCGCCGGTCTCATTGGCTAATTTTCTTGTACTCAGCGTACTATCCATGACAACTTGGCCCAATACGAATACCTCCATAGCTTCATTTACTACAGGATTTTCCCTCTGCCTCTTTTTATTCATAACGGAACCAGTTCCGCGAAATTTTGCTACTAACTAGCGAACAATTTTGCCATAAAGTTGTTTGTCAGGATGGCATTCATTGAATATCTGCGGAACCCGATAAATTCATTATTTTTAAAATAAAGTTCGATTATTTCCACTTTTTATGCAAGTGAGTACAACTTAACTTAACAAGTATAGCTAGAGACGTGAGAAATATAAAATAACACGGCGACCGGAGCTATCCCCAAGTCTCTTCCTATATTTGTACAACTGTACACCATAATTGTTAAAAAGTTTAACGATATTGAGAAGAACTTCAACGCACAAGTCACAGAACAGCTCTCTAGCAACTACCGCACCTGATCGTTCAACCTTGTGGCAAGTGAAAAAATGCGTAAACATCTAGAAATAACAAGAAAAGACAGCAAATTGGTCGAAGGAATTTATCCCTCTCATTTACTCTGATAAATGTTTAAATAAACTCTTTTCAAATTTCAATCCTTCATATTTTCTCAATGACTCGACCGATTTTCAAAAACGAAACGGGAAAGTATAGAGAATAGAAAGGCCTTTTCATTGCGGTACCACTTGAACACCGTTCCCATTTGAAAAAAATTGATGGATGACACCCCCGCTTAGAGGGTTGAAGATTTTGCAATCATTTTTGGGGCAAGAGTTGTCCCCCTCACAAACAAAATTGACATGTTTTTGAATTTTCTGAAAAAAAAATTACCCTAGCCGTTATGCCTTGCGGAACGTTTTCGATGGGCCACCCTGTATATAAATCATAAACACTTTTAATTTAATGTTAAAAATTCGAAAAAATGTTAGAGTCTTCTTCAGAAGCTAATATCTCAAAAAAAATAAAGCTAATTAAGATGAATCAAAAAACAAACTATCGAAAAAAGATACACCTAGATGACAAAATTCCTTAATTTATTAAAAAAAATTATTTTTTCAGTTAAAAAAACGAGATTTGGTATGTCAGTATATGACATAAATTAGGACTGATTGACGTATTCAATTGTTTTCGGTCACTTCCTGTTTTACCGGAAATGACTACAACTTTTGATTTTTAAATGGCGCCCTCGGTATTTTTTTACTTTATTCCATAGAAAAAAAAATTCTGAAAAGAATGACATATCGTATGTCAACTTTTGACGTTTTCGCATATGGTTTATTTGAAATTATAACTTGCAGTTCGGAACAAAAATTTTACTCGAAATACCAAGTGTGTGGTATCAAATTATTCATAAAAAAATGCTTTTTCCAAATATGCTAATGAGCCACCCTCGTTCCATTTGGAAAAATTGAGATATGATTAAAAATACGATTTGAGCATTTTCTAACTGGCCAGAACAAGACAGTAAAAACCATTAGACGATCAAATCTATTATTCCAAGGCTCCTTGATTAAAAATTGGTGTTTTTAACATAGCCATGGCACTCTAGACTGAATTTTAAAATACGATTTTTTATTAAGCGAGAATGTCAAGTTGACATATGACATTCTATTCAGAATGTCATTTTCTATCTTATAAAGTAAAAAAAGACCCAGGGTGGCATTTTAAAATCATAAGTTGTAGTCATTTCCGGTGAAACAGGAAGTGACCAAAAACAATTGAATACGTCAATCAATCCTAATTTATGTCATATACTATCATACCAAATCTAGTTTTTTTTTATCCGGAAAAATAAAAAAGTTATAGGGGGAGCCACTTTTGAGACGCACCCGGTATAAAACATTAAAATACATGAAAGTTTTAAGGTGCCCGTTTGTCGTGCCGGTGAGTGTAGTTACGCCAGTGGATTTAAGGCAAAATACTCCACAGTGCTCAGTTTTCACATTTTCCGTAAATTATCAGATAACTGAGATACGAGGAGATTTATACTGTATTTTGGGAACTAAGATGGCTAGGATAAATCTGCGTATATTATCTTAAAGTATCTAAGTATCTAGTGTAATATCTATAGTTACATAAAAAATAGCACAGTGATTTAAAAATCTTTTGTATCACTACTCATAAACGAGAACCACCATAATACACACAAAAACGGGACACCCAGTCCGGTGAACCTATTCCGCAAAATCAAATTATTATACCTACTCTACTGAGTTGAAAGTGTGGTTCGTACGAGACGGAAAGGATGAGTTCAGATGATACGTCGGAACATCAGAATTCTATTGTTCTATTCGAGAATACCGACCTTGGTTTCTCACTGGAAGGTCGGAATTTGAGCGTACAAGTCTATACAAAAGTCGGCATTCTGCGGAATAAAATTTGTCTGTGAATAGAATTTTGTGAATATTATATATGTCGGCGTCAATAAGTGATTTCGTCATTCCCTGAAATGCCTAGGTACTCAATTCACGTATTGCCGGCAAACAGCGTAACTTGAAAGTTCGACTGTGGATCTCAATTTTTCCCTGTAACGACGGAATATTTTAGTGAAACGTCGTAATTAACTAAATTATACAGGGTGGCGCACCTTATTCGCCTCGTTTGATTATACGAAAATAGAAAGATGTAGAAACAAAATATTTTATGGGTATATGTGGGGAGGCAATTTAAAATATACAGGGTGTTTCAGAATTAAGATTCAAACCAAAGTTATATTTTTTCTTATGGAACACCCAGTTTTTTATTTCATTTTTGGATTCTTATGCTCAAAAAAAGGTACTTATTATAAGGGTTAAATATGTTTAAAATCTTTGGTTTTTGAGATATTTAAAGATATTTAAAAAAGCATGCCTACAATAGAATGTATTATTATTCACACCCTTTACATTGCTTTTCAGAATTAATTCTTGTGCTGAGTTAAACTACCATGAGCAAATTGCCATGGCGACACCAGCCATCTTGATTGCCATTTTATTGAAAAATCGCTTTTAATTCAAAATCTGAGCCAGAAGCAATAAAAATTTTTAGTAAAGTTTATTTCTCTGGCTTCAAAGTCAGCACAAGAATTAACTCTGAAAAGTAATGTACAGCGTATTGACAAACTTTTTTAGTATAGCATGCTTATTTAAATATCTTTAAATATCTCAAAAACCAAAGTATTTAAACATATTAAACCCTTATAATAAATGCCTTATTTTATGTCCAAGAATCCAAAAATGAAATAAAATACCGGGTGTTCCATAAGAAAAAAATATAACACATTGGTATGGATCTTAGTTCTGACACACCCTGTACATTTGAAAATAATTTTAAATTATGCACATTGCATCTCTACATATACCCATCAAAATTTTTGTTTCTACATCTTTCCGTTTTCGTATAATCAACCGAGGCGAATAAGGTGCGCCACCCTGTATTATTTTAAATTACCCTGTTTGTCGGTTTTAGTCGATCATTGAAGTTAAAACAGTATTGCCTTTTAGTTTTTCAAAGTAAGATATTTTCCATAATTACGATATTTAAGATATAATATAAAAAAATTGTCGGTAGGTGACAGACATATTAAATTTAAAACAATACTTGAATTCAATATATTATCAAAACTGATTGTACCGGATGGCCAACTAAGAATGAACGCCGGCTGTATCCCAAGAGCTACTTATCATATAACTTTGGGAAAAAAATTCATGTAAACATGTAAATCGGCCGCCTGCAATAGCTAGAAATTATAAGTTCATAAAATGTCCGTTATGGAGCGCTGCTGTGGCGATGGCCAATCAGAAACGGGATTTTAAATGTTCTTAATAAAACTTGCATTTAATTTTTTTACGAAAAATTATATGTATGGAAAAATTATTAATTAAAATTAATATAAAATTAAAATTAATATTAAAATATAAAAATTATTAATTAATAATAATTATAATGCTATTTAGTTCTTATTTATCCATGTCCTTTTTGATTCAATCCCATAAATATAATCCCAGGAATGGTAAATTCATGACCAGCGAGTGACCTAGTTGGCCACGGAAGTATACTGCCTCAGTCTATCCATCTACTTACACACACCAACAACACCACCAACTCTATCATAATGCTAAAATCTTGTACCTTTGTATCGCTTATTTTTATTTCTTTTATACTAGTTGAAAAGTTGATCTTAAAACGTTTATTTATAAAGAAAATTATGATTATAGTAGTTGTGACAAAAAAATTGCTTTTTGGTTGACAATGTTTTAGAAAAATGCATAAAGATAAATGTAGGTATTTCTGTACTGTGACAAACAAAAGCTTTGTCATGTAACTAAGTTATAAAATTTGTTATTATTTTACACTTGTTAATCACATAAATAGGCGGAATACTTACCAAATAACTGTGGCAAACTCGGGAGTCCCATAGATTCTATAAAAGAATCTATTTCGTCCTCAAAAAAGGATCGCATATGCAAGGAATCTCTAGCTTCCTCAATATGATTGTCTGGTTGTTTACCTTTGAATGAATCAAAATTATTTCCAGACCTGAAAAATATTAGTTATTTTTTCTCAATGGGATCAATAATAACCGAAAAGTTCATCACAGTTTTGTTCTTAAAAAGTAAATTTCTGTAAGTAACAAAAAATTACCAGGCATAAAGTTACTTACTCATTTTTAAATCCAAAGCCAAATAATCTTTCAAAAAAGTTCATAGTTTAATGTGACAAATTGGATAAAATGATGTGATGTAATCTTGTCTTTCAGCAGAATCCTTAATTAAATGAGGCTAATAAGTGGGTAACTGGGTATCATAGAAACAACTAGGTATCTGAAATAAATTCTTACACTCACACTTACTCCATACATATTACATAGATTCTTTACTATAAAAAAATATATCTTTTAGACTGTGAAAATACTGTACATATACCGTACTTGTTTTAATTTCTCTGATGTAATTTGAAAACAAAAAATTTCAGAAGAAAAACCGAAAAAATTAAACGGTTAAACCAAAACATACACCCGGTATATTATATTTATATTCTTTGACATTTGACACTCCATTGTATCAGGGATGTGATTTGGGGATGTGCATGTAAAAAACAATTAGTTCCTGTGGCTAAATTCCCTGCAGTCGTGATAGTAGTTCAATTGTCCGATATACGGAAAATGTAAGGTTATATTTTTATTTATTTTTATTTCATGTTCAGAACTTTTATATTAACACGTGTATTTTAGAATTCTTTAAATGGCAGAAGTTATGTCCAGCTCCGACAAGAAACAAGTAGAATATTTAGTGGTAGATACTTCTGCTTTTATTCAAAATGCTCCACTTCATGTAAGTTCGAATTTATAGTTTGTTATGGTGTGGCATTGTATGATATATATGTTTTTAGGAAATTGCAGAAAATTTAATAACTTGTCAGGATGTTTTAAACGAAGTTACTAATAAACGACAGTTAAGAAGACTCATTACATTACCTTACAACTTGGTGTAAAAGATGTTTTCCCCAGAGAATATTAAATTTGTTACAGATTTTTCTAAAAAACTGGGGATTATCCCAGTCTATCCGCTGTTGATATAAAGGTTATAGCTCTAACCTACCAACTGGAGAAAGAGAAATGTGGTTTAAAACAGCTGAGAACAGAACCTACTCTACCAAGACCTACCACTGAGAGTATTGTAAAAGAAATAGATCCTGATATAACAGGTTTCTTTATACCTAATGAAAAAGGAGTTTTTGAAAAGGACAATTCAGATAACAAACAGTTATTAAAAGATGAAATACAATCTACTAATACAGATTTGTTAGACAATAATATTAAAAATACAGAGATCACAACAACGATAGAAACCTCTCAGCTTGAGCCCATAAATTGTGGAGTTGATGATTCTGATAATGAAGTGCTAATTCCAGTTGATCCAAATATTTCAGAAAACAGTTTAAGTGATAGTTGTGAAGATGAAGATGACGACGATAGTTGGATTAATCCTTCAAACGTACATTTAGCTAGAAAACAGGTCAACTCACAAATTATTGAAGAGAAATATGTCAAAGTTGCATGCATGACCACAGATTTTGCAATGCAAAATGTTTTGAAACAAATTAATCTAAATGTTTCAGCATTAGATGGTCGAATTATAAGGCAACTAAGGACTTATATTTTAAGATGTTATGCTTGTTTTAAAACCACTAGTATAATGACTAAAAAATTTTGTCCTAAATGTGGAAATGACACTCTCAAAAAAGTTGCAATATCAGTGAATGAGAATGGTGCAATGCAAATTCATATTAATCCCAGAAAACCTTTAAGTGGTCGGGGCAAAATTTATAGTTTACCTAGAATAAAGGGTGGAAAACATCCTAACAATCCCATTATAGTTGAAGATCAGCCGATCCCTGATAATAAACCAAGTAGATTAGCAAGAACAAAAACCAATGCATTAGATGATGACTATATAGCAGGTAAGATTTTTGTTAACTATACAGTTTTTTTTAACTATACAATTTCATTTCATGATTTTTTATATACCTTGTTGGTAACAGACTCTTGCATTGACATTTATATGTCTAGAAGTGAATCTATGTCGATTTTGTACGCCAGTGAAAAAGTGTTAAGTGTTTATTACATAACCACTTAATATGACATTTAGTTCATAGGCATGGCTGAGAAACTTAAATGGAAATGACGGTTCATTAAAAATAGTTTTTCCTCCAAGATGCAGAGGCGCAAAATATTAAAACTGTCAATATTAACAATGCAAATGTCAATATCTGACAATAATAAAATTTGATTTTTAACTGTCACTCAGAGACGCTTTTGTTGTGATTTTACGGTTTGATTTCGTTTTGATTTCGTTTTGATTACGTTTTGATTTGTATTAGAATTATTGTAAAATTAAATTCCTTCAGAGTTTTTGCCAGTATTCTGTTTTAGACAATGTTTTTAAAAATGGTGGGACAATTTGTGTTTTGTATAGACTCTTAATTATTTTTTATCATGGAGTTTAATTGTTGTACACCTGGTTTCAGAAGGATACAATGGTAAATAAATTAAACATATCTACTTAGAGTTATAGATTTTTAAATTAGTACTGCTAATAAATGCCACCTGCTGAGCAGTTATTTAATTTTATTACCGTGCATGTAAGGAATTAAGGACGCGCGTTGTGTTATATTAGCATGATCAGCAGATGATTACATCTAATTTAATTTGTTTTTATTATTTCAGGTCTCAAACGGAAACAAACTGGGAATCTTGCCTACACCAAAATTATATAGCCGTTTCCAATTCACTTCAAAGGGAGGAAAATTATGTAAAACTGCCTGCTATTTCCTGAAAACCGCCAAAGATTAAATTATAACTGTAACAACTTAATATATACTATTTCTAGTCTTTTTAATATATTTTTTAATTAATATCCGACATATAAGAACACTTTGTATGCTTTTAATTCAGTTGATTTATCGTTTATAATATGTTCGACCTAATTAAAAGCACACAAAGTGTTCTTACATGTATGTCCAAATTTATTTTAAATTAACTAAAACAACCCCCCTTCCCCTCACCCCTCTCTTCCATTAGTATTTCTTCCTCCATCTACCAGAGGCGCCCTTGTATAATAAAATTGAAATGTATTATAAGTTGCCTATCTATTTAATAGTATAAGTCTTTTATCTATGGTTCATAGGCTTGGGAAAATACTCACTCTTCACTCTTCTCTCTTTGTTCAGTATACCTACCTCATTTTATGTGACAGATTGACTATGCACAAGAAAATTGTCACCCAAGCTAAGCCGTTGCAGACTCTGTATAAAATAGTTCAATACATTTACATGAACCATACAATCGGAAAAAAACGGCGTCGGCGATAGTTTGGAAGTGAAGATTGCTGTCATTTTGTATGTAAAATTATATAGGGAATGTCACCAATCCATTTCACGTCAACTGGACGCGATTTTTTATCATATGGTATAACATATGTACAGTATTCTAGTAGGCATGTTTGGTTCTCTGGTTGTTTGATCCCCTGGTATAAGTTGTTTTGAATGTTAGAAAATAATACAGGGTGTCTCCCTATAATTACCTTGACTTAGGTAATAGATATTTACATGACAATAATTCATAGAAAAAATCTAACAACACTGAATTCTGTGTCATAAACTAGGTATTAAGAACCAGAGAATGGTTATTGGGTATAACCGGGAGGGGTTCAAAATGCAATATTGTTAAATTTCTCCCTGTACTTCATAAATGAAGCAGAGAAAGACAATGTGCGCGTTCAGGGAACACAGCGGCTCACCGACCGCTGAGTATTTTACTCAGCGGCTGACTGTTTTTGCATGAAAAAGAGACCGTTTAGGGAAACCGCTTACTCAGCCGCTGACCGTCCCTGAACGCGCCCAACTATTTTGATTAAGGGCTCAGCAATCCTTATCCCCCCCTTCGACAATAAAGATGTTCAGAAGGGAAAATGGTGGTACATACCCTAGTACTGGGTGGCCAACTAAGAATAAACGCTGGTTATATCTAACAAACTCATGTAACAAACTACTTATCACATAGCTTTGGGAAAAAGTTCTAAAAAGTAAACCAGCCAAGATAAATCAGCTGCGAATTATTTGAAGTTCGAAAAACGTGGAGAGCGCATCGTTATTGTCAATCAGGAAACGATTTTTTCCCCAAAAATATGCACATAAAGAGGTATTTTAAATTTTGCTATTGTAGTTGTAACTTTTTGGAATCTTTGTGATCTGTTTTAAGCAAAAATACATAGCCTGCCATATAATTTTTTTCTGTTCTCTAGAGTGAGCGCATTTAAAGGAGCCAGGAAGTCATCGGTGATGAGCCTGTATAGCGACCGCTCCTTGCTTGTGATTGGACGTATGTACGTTTCGGTGATCCATGAGCGCCAGCTTAGATATGTTTATTCTAATATTTCAAATTATTTTTTCGCGCGGCACTGTCTAACGCCGAGGAGGCCTGCTCCGGCAAAATATTGATGACGCTCCTGGCTCCTTTAAATGCGACTACGGCAATCTATAGAGACGAAGATATAAACAAAAAATGATTTATTATCTTTTTCCCAAAGTTATACAAAAGTAGTTTCTGAAATATGTTTTCCGATTTACAAAAACACATTTTTTCAGATATTTTAAGAACCATTATTCCGATTTGAATATTTTAGATGCCTACGTTTTGCTAAGTGTTTTATGCCCCCTCTAGTATTTCTTGTTAAAAAACGTCACATCGCATAGTTTTTGAGAAAATTTTTTTTGAGAATTTATTTTTCCAAAGCAGACCTACAAAATATACAGGGAGTTCCAATATTCCGTGGATATAGAACAACTACGTATTTTTTTAATCAAAATATGTTAATTGCCAATAATTTATCTTTATACACAAATGCTTTGTTTGTCCCTTAGAGGGCATCAATCAAAAATAAAAACGTGAATTTTTTTTCTTTTTAAGCTTTTTATTAAGGTTATTGTCAAATATAATTTGGGATAACATAAAATTCCATATTTTCGCCAACTAGATTATTGGAACGTAATATATTTTATGCACCTCCATAGCTTTGTGACAAAAAGATATTTTTTGAAAGTCAGCTTTGGAAAAGTTTTTTTTTTCCTCAAAAAGTATGCGCGATATCGTTTTTTTTACGAGAAACAAAAAGTGTAGTAAATACTGGAAGAACTAATTTACGAAATAAAAATCGGTCGTCGGTGGAGTTAGAAAATATTTATACTAGAATTTATGGAGGGGTAGGGGAGTTTTGATACTTCCCGTACTTTTTCTTCATTTTTGTGAAAGTCAAATGTTAAATCACTTAGCAAAACATGACACCCAAAATTTCATTTAAATCGGAATAACGATTCTCAAAATATCTGAAAAATGTGTTTTTTTTATGCCCTCTAACAGACAAACGGAGCAATTTTGTATAGAGGTAAATTGTGTTGAGGTAAAAATTGAACCTATTTTGATTCCAAAAATACGTAGTAATTCTATGTCCACTGAATATTGGGACACCCTTGTAATAATATTGTCTCAATATTCAAAATATGAATTTTATTAATTTTTAGGTTTCTCCCCATTCGTAATGAGAGATGTCAACTCTAAATCAGCACAGCTGTGTATACGACCTAATGCGGAATTCAAACAGTGGATGAAGAGAAACCCCAATGAGTCACGAAGAAGAAGAAAATAAATTCTATCTAGTACATTCTATATTTTGTTACAGAAAAATTAACAACATATAAATAATATAATAATTATTTGTAGGTTTTTGAAGTACATCTCTGTATACAAGATAAAAATTTGTTTTTATTAAAAATTAATAAATTCCCATTATCACCATTTGTGTAGTAATGATGCTCTTTATTAGGAGTAACAATTGGCATATCTGAAAAACCTTGAGTGTATATTGCCATCCATGATTTTTTTTCAACATCATTATAGTCCCTAAAACAATTAATTATTATCTTTGTCACAATAGGCTTGGTGCATTTCAGTTCCGACCGCAGCGCTTCAACGACAGAAATCAGAAATTGTCAGTATATACCTATTTCACGCGGCCGCGCCGTATGTTGATAGCATTAAAATAATATTGAAATAGTGGCTCTGCCATAATATTTAAGTATTTTAGTTTTTTGCTAGTGCAGTTATTGAAACTATAAAACACTCAGGTACGAGGTTTATGTAATGTAACGCTATTTCGGGTAGTAAAAAATAAGTGAAAAAGAATTCGAACTAGGCGTCGTGTTGTGTTGTGACAATTTCAAATGTTAATAAAATTGACAAAAAGGTGTTAACGCGTAAAGGAGAGCGTAATTAGGGCGTTGTTGGGTGCAATAACATTTAATAACTCAACTTAACTGGATATTCAACTCTCCCGAAACAACATTTTATAGTTTCAAAGTAGCCAAAAGTGGAGTGGAGAAGTTTTTAAATTTATTTAAAAAGTTTTTCCACTTTACTGGCGAAAGCATACGTATTTTTGCATAGGATAACTGTCTCATAAAAATACACACAAGATTTTTTTGGAAAAAGCCTTTATTAAATTTTGAAAAAATTAAACTAATTTCTATGAGGACAAAAATGGAGAAACTGGTATTTTTTATACATTTGTAGTCGCTAGTCTCAGTATTTGGTTGCATAGCCTTTACTTTTGATGACTGCTTGGCACCTTCTGGGCATACACTCAATTAAGTTCTTTATTACGTCCCCGGATATTTCATTCCCGGCTTGTAATAGGATAGCGAACAAAACATCTTTATTTTTAAATTTGTCCCTGTTTTTACGCCTAATATCGACTTCTAGTTGATCCCATAGGTTCTCTACAGGGTTCAGGTCGGGGCTTTGTCATAATATTTAAGTCATTTTTTTGCGGCTTTGTGCTGGCCAGTTGATCACTTCAACTTGTTCTTCGGTTAAAAATTCCTTAATAAGTTTGGCAGTTTGTTTCGGATCATTATCGTGCATAAATTTCCAGGTTAAAGGGAGAGAGGATTCAGCATAAGTACCATTGTTTCTTGCAAAATATTTAAATACATATAACGATCCATAATTCCATCTATTTGAACAAGGGGCCCGACCCCATGCCCAGAAAAACAACCCCAAACTAGAACGTTCCCACCTCCGTGTTTTATGGTGGGTATGGTGTACTTGGGATTGAACCTCTCATTGGCAGGACGACTCACCCACCTAATACCATCCGAACCAAATAGATTGTATTTGCTTTCGTCCGACCAGAGTACATTTTTCCACTGCTTGTAGATCCAATTTACATGTTCCAATGCAAACTGTAGTCGGGCCTGCCTATTTTTCTTAGAAATAAACGGCTTTCAGGCAGGTCTTCTGGCATTTAGTTTTGCCTGTTTCAGACGTCGTCTAATGGACCTAACAGATATTGAGATAAAGGGATATTCGTTCCTTTATCCTCCGCAGTGCAAAATGGATTTCTAAGTGAATATCTTCTTATTATTTTATCTGTCGCCAAAGTTGTTTTTTTGGGTCTTCCGGGCTTGGGTACACTGGCATTTGTCCCACGACTTCTATACAAATTAATCTGTTTGCACACAACACTTTTGTGTAAATTTAAGTGTCTAGCAATATCAATTTGTTTAATTCCCGAATGATACTTCTCAATTATGATTTTTTTTATTTGAACTGACAAATTTATTCCGCGCGACATATTTTTAACGCTCTGTGAACCCAATACCACGATCTAGACGCTTTAACAAGAGAATATCTCACAGAATGTTAAGAAGAAGATAAGGTTTCTCCACTTATGTCCGCTGGAATTTGAAAATAATTTTTTGTCTGCAAATTTATTCACAAAATAAGCAGTTTTTATATGGCTATACAAAGCAGATTAAATGAGAAATATTTTCTTGATATCCTATTCTGCAGAGAGTAAACTGTATTTTGACATAGTAAAAATATTAAAAGTTTCTCCACTTTTGGCCAGTACTGTACCTTCAAAAAAAATTCGTGATAGCCGAAATAGCCCCAATTATGATCCCACCATCAAAACCGGTGATTAAAACTATGCTTGCTGCCGTAGTTGAACTCGTATAAAAAGTTTTTTTATATATATAGTTGAATGATCAATTATAATACAAGTAAGACCTTCTGAAGATATCAAAATATTTACTTTTTTATTTTTAGAATTTTCAAAAATTATACTTCCTAACACTTTTAGAACAATAATATAATAAATTTTTCGTATACTCGCTATTTAAACCCGTGTATTTGTATATACTAGTTGTTTACGATATTCTCCGATGGTGGCAGCACCGGCGGAGAATGCACCAAGCCTATACAAAATTGATAACTTACCTCAAAAAAGATGTTAATTTTTCAATATGTTCAGGTAAGAAAAATCCTCGCCATTGCAAAAATCGCAATTGACTTAAAACTATAGAAGGTTCTGGAGCTTCATAAGTATTAACATAGTTGTCAAAAGATCCCAAAAAATCTCCGTCTATAGATACCATTCCTAACCACTCAGCAAAATCTATAATCTCATTTTCTGATATGTCCTCTTTCAATATTATCGGACTGTTGATAGAATATAAAACGTGTGTTTTAAAATTGTTCTTGCACACTTTAACGTTGTAATTAAGATCGTTAAAAAATTTTGCTACAGATGAAGGACAAATTGTATCTTCTGGGGGCAGCCAGGATAATATTAAAGAGAATTTTTCTAAAGAATCTAAAGCTGCCTTAATCCGTTTGAAACTTCGTTGGCCAGGTTGTAGTTTGCTATTTCTTAGGTCTATTTTAATAACTAAAAAATGTACTAAATAGTGTGAATTTCGATCACAATATAAATTAACTATGATTATGTTATAAGTCAAAATAATTTTGGGGATTGTTTAGGAAAATAAATAGGTAAGACCAAGGTCTGTTCAGCGAAGGAAGGGATGATTTTGACAGAGGACATCCAAAAAAAACTGAAAATACAATCCCTCTTTAAATCAAGGTATGACAACTGAAACTATCATACCTTCCCTCGTTGGACAGACTACATAATAGAAGGTGTCCCAGAAATAAGTGCAAGTATTTTAACTGGTAGTATAGTTCGACCCCAGAAACACGCCCATGATTTTTTTTGCGAAAAAAAATGTTGAAAATTTTATATATTTTTCTTGACATTTTCCGGAAAATATTGAAAAACTTTTGCGTGCCGCTTGTTCAGTTTCCATAAATTTGTTTATAGTGCTTAGAAAATGCAATGTTGCCCCCCCTACGTTATCCACATTCTGTATGTTTATAAGTTCACATATTTAAATTACTACAAAAAAATACTTAAATTAATTTTATTCACTGTAGATTACTACTAAGTATATGTTAAATACCTTTTTTACAGTTTTGTAAACTAAAATAATGAAACTAAGTAATGCACAAATAGCAAATTTTCAATAGTTCAGAATCAGCGCCCTCTATTAGATATCTAAATTATCAACGCTTGACCTACATTTAACCAGATCAGCTGATGGAAATTTTTAAGTTATCCAATCATTTGAGATTTTACTCAAAACAGTAAGCTTCTAAAAAAAACTAAAAAAATAGACAAATGTAAGGTAAGCCTGTAAAAATACTTTCATTATTCAAATCGAAATATCAATTATTTTGGTGCTTACACAAAAATGTTTTGGTTATTCACAAAAACAAGAGTGTGAGATAGAAAAACAGAGGAGTTTAAAGGTTGTCGCCCACTAGACCGCTGCGCGGCGCGGCGCTGGGAAGAGAATTTTTTCCGGCTGCGAAGGAACTGCGCCCACTATAGCGCGCTTTTGAAACGCGGCAACGCTATTTAGTTATAGTCGAAGTGTTTTTTACTTACTGTAGTTTAGTTTTTAAAGCAATGAGTTCAAGTACGGACGAAAGCGTATTTTTGTGCTCTTCTAACAGAGGAAGAGGAAGAGGGGTGAGGAAAAGTTTGGACTCATACGATTAACAAAAAAGAAAGAAGTTTGGAGAATTTTACCATCTTTTTCCAGATTTAATAAAAGACAAGATCATTTTTTCAGTATTACAAAATATAAAGGGAAACATTTTACGTACTCCTCAATTGAGGGTTTTAGAAGCAAAACACCGAGTATCTCTACTCATCATATTTTTTCAGAAGAGACAAATTACTAATACTTTTGATAATTCTTATTTATTCTGATGTGTATATTAGTTATGTGGTGAAAAAACCCTGATCTTTTTATATATTTAGGTAATTAGAATTTAAAAATTGGAGATTGTCACTTTTGTTAAAAAGTGGAGATTGCCGGTTTTGCCTCTACACCCCTCAATTATATTAAATCTTTGATAGAACGGCATTTCGTCCATCTGTCTCTAGTGAGGGAAGACTATAAATAAAAAATTATCATATTCCTTTATGAAAATCGATTTGCCTAATTTACCTTTAAAAATACAATTCTACCAGTGATACGTATCACTAGTTCCTAGTCAAAAAGCCAACTGAAAAGACTCGAATGCAAAATTATTTCCCTTGTGAGTACGCACACTGGAACGCGTCAAAACGCGGGAGACGGAAAAACAGATCAGCTGATGGAAATTTTTAAGTTATCCAATCATTTGAGATTTTACTCAAAACAGTAAGCTTCTAAAAAAAACTAAAAAAATAGACAAATGTAAGGTAAGCCTGTAAAAATACTTTCATTATTCAAATCGAAATATCAATTATTTTGGTGCTTACACAAAAATGTTTTGGTTATTCACAAAAACAAGAGTGTGAGATAGAAAAACAGAGGAGTTTAAATTCTCAAAAAATAATACTAAATAATTCAGATGGCATATG